GCCCCACGAAGCCCCGGCCGCCGGCCCGGCGTGTGGCCATTGCTTCCCACCATGTGGGAACCACCAGCACACCTCATTCTTTCCCCTCCTCCCTCCTGGTGGAGGGTGCAGCATCCCGTGGGACTGGTGGCGTGCCTCGACAGAGTGAGCTCCCTACCCTAAAATGCCTGTTGGGGGGATTCCTCCTGCAACATCCCAGCTTGCTGTTGCCGGTCCTGGCATGCTGCTGTGGGATATGAAATGTGGGATGCTTGGGGTGATCTTTGCCCACTGCCTGAGCTGCCCCTCCAGAGGGACCAGCAAAACCCAGCAAGGCCAGCTGGAGAATTGAAATGAAGTCTCCTGGAATAACCTCCTGGCAGCAAATCCGAATGGCTGTTGAGGAGGGAAGGCAGCCAAAGCTCGTTTCATGGTCTGAGGGCTGCAGTAACCCCCCTCCAAGCTCCACCGCCAGCAGGGAGCCAGGAGTGTTTTGGAGCTGGGGGGGCAAATCCTTTGAGCTTGAGACTGCAGCCAGAGCGGGGTTTGCCGTGCCCCTTGCTGGGTTCACAGCTCCCATGTGAATTAAGCCAAGGACTAAAAATGCTGCATACTTGGTTCCAGTCCAGCTTTTAATCCCACGGCCTGGGGGCTGCTATTCGCGGAGCAACAGGTTTACCAGCAACTGCGTGTTGCCTGAATGGAGATCCCTGGGAATAGCCATCCTGCACCTTGTGGTGGCACCCGTGGGTGTCACAGGGACAGTGTTGTGGGGTTTTCAGGCAGCAGGCTGGGTGACTCCCGGCGTGCCAATGTCTGCATGGGACCAGCTGGGTGCAGCCTGTCAACGCCTGTTTTTTAGGAGGGCTCCGACGCGCCAACTCCTTTCCCATCAGCTCACCCAACAGCTGGGGTTTGGCAGAAATCCCGGGGGCCTACGGTCTCTTACCTGACTCCTTGGGTGCTGCAGACTTTGCCCTCACCAAGCTCCAGGTTAAGTACTTTCTGTGTCAAATACCTGGGAGCTTGATATAGGGTGGTCCTGAGCTGCTCTGCACTGCCCAGCACCTCCTTTTCCCTGGCACCTGCGGCACAGGAAGGCAATGGGGACCTCGCTCATGTGAAGGGAGACAAGACCCAGGAGGGGACGGGGTGTTTTGGAAGCCATTTAAAACCCAAAGGGCTGGTTTGGGTGAAGGGAAGGTAGAGCTTATCTCCAAGAGGAGACCGGGGGTTGCTCCCGAAGAAGGCTGAGTGGTGGGAGCGTGCCAGAGGACAGCTGTCTGTATCCTCTGTGGCCAGTGAGGTGCTGTGGGGTGCTGGGGCAGGACTACCTGCACAGCTTTGCTCCCATGTCACAGCAGCCCTCAGACCACCACAGGGGTACCTGGTCCTTCGCAGAACGTGTGTTGCTGCCGCCGAAGCCGCAGGCTTTGCATACCACTGAGTGGGTGCTCTGTTACCCTGGCATGGGAGGAAGCACTGGGTTAGTTTGCTGTGAAATTTGTGTTTGTGGTGGCTTTTAGGAAACGGAAACTTTTTAAAATTTTTGAATGTTAAGACTGAGCTTTAAGCAAATGTTCCGTCTCAAGAGCCCTGGGCACTGGTAGGTGCCTGTGCCAACCTCCCATCGGTTCTCCCCATGTCTGTGTGGGAAGGGCCGGCTGCCAGTGGCTGGCAAAGGACAGATCTGGCAGGGAGTTGTGCTGCTCCCATGGGAATCTTCATCAGGTCTGGTTTCGTCCTGCTGGCAAGACTCATCTTGAAAGTGCTGGGTGTTCTGTGCAACACCGCAGGGAAAAGCCGAACGGCTGCACCCCATCCCGCGGCACGGGCTGGCACCGCGGCACTGCCGCAGCTGCCCCGCGGCTCCTCGGGCATTAACAACCGCGCTGGGTCGGCCCCTGCCACCCACCGGTGACGGGAATCACATGCCAATGCCATGAATAATGGGGGGGGACGGCCCCTGCGGACACACACCACTGGCCAAGGACAAGGGCACTTTGTGAAGCTCCCAGATGACCAGCACTGAGGCATCCCCTTTGCAGAGGGACCTCGACGGGGTCCCCACCTCCTCAGGCAGGTCCAACTGTAGGGCACATTGTCTGTGGTGGGCTGGTTGTGCAAAGCTGTTCTGCATCTCCCTGAGCCTGTCCTGGCTTGCCTCTCTGTGCCACAGTTTACTCATCTTGTTCCCGAGTCCCTGCTGGGTAATAGGATGAGGTGACGAACTGCAGGCTCATCTCGAGGAGCGTCACTTTCCTGACGGACCTGGAAGGAAAACAGATAAAAGCCCTGGATCTCCCCGTTTCCGGTGTTTGTTTGAGAAGTCAGAGCATCTTCCCTTCTCCTTGGAAAATAACGTCATATCCAAAGCCACGTGCCACCTCTAAAAGCTTAAATACCTACTGCCAAGTCATCCAGAGAGCAGTAAGGTAGTAGTAAACACCAGGCGGTTTTGGTGGGTTTTTTAGTCTTTTCTTCCCCCCTATTTACCTACAGGTTTAGAGGCCTCAGTATAATTCCTTGGCCTTTCTTTCCAAGACTAGCATGTATTTTTAATGGTGATGTGAGGATATGACCCGGTGCCCAGGGCTGAGCCTCCCTCTATGCTGGCAGTGAGGAAGCCCGCTCCAAGCTGTGTAGCTGTGTGGCCCTGTCTACATCATCTGGCATTCGTACATCATCCAGCTGATTCTGAGGCCAAACCAGAAATTTTTCTCCTCTGCCACGTGGGATTGGGAAGATGACAAGGCAGGATTCATCCCTGACGTGAACTTGGTGCATCCAGCTACCTTTGCTACTGCTTATCACCAGCATGTGATAAGCAGTGTTTTCCCGCTGCAAAACCATTTTCGGGGGATTTTCTCTCGCTATTGTTCAGCTCAGGAAACAGCAATTGGCGTCAGGTTGAGCAGGACCATATAGGGCTCCAAGGGGAAATACCAGCTCTCCCACCCACTTTCCCACAGGGATTTCTGGTCCCAGTTGAGTAACGGCTGAAAGGGGCTGATCCTGTCCTCCCACCATCCCAACACAGTCCTAAAGATGCCAGCACGGTGGGATGGGCTGAAGCCTCACTGGGATTCAGCATTCCCCATCCCGAGGGGATGCTTTCCTGGCAAGCTGGCTCGCTGCCACCACAACATGGTTGGCATTCATGTGCCTTTCTATTGTTTTTAAGTGATCCAGGTGTTTTCCATTGCCAGTGGCATTTTACCACTCTCGATCCGTGTCTTTTAGATATATTTGCATGATTCCCACGTGTGTGGCAAAGTGCTGGGATGCCAGCCCCATCCAAATCCATTTACTGCTGCCAAGTCGTGTCTGTGCCATACCCTCCAAGCCCACACTGGGGAACCTCATTAGCATCACTCAGTTACAGCCATGGCAGCAGGTTAATTAACAACCCGAAGCCCCCGTCTGCTGGTGATAAACTACTGCAAGGAGCAGATGGGGAGGGACAGGGAGTGGGCTGTACACTGGTGCAGGATACGCCCTGGATCTGTGCTGTGCTGGCTAGAGAAACTTCCAGACAAAGCCTGTGCTGGTGGGAGAAACCTGCTAATGAGTTTTCAAGCAAGTGATTTTCTCGCCACCTTCCCATCTGACGACCCTTGGGCACCTGGGAGAGATCAGGAGCCTTTGCAGGTGATGCTGGTTGGGGCCCCAGCACCCGCTCAAACAAAAGAGGACTCAACCACTCGGTGGGTTCTGAGAGGACGTTTGAGGGTGGTGCAGGAGTGGGGTGCAGCAGTGGCAGACAGAATGCCAGCTAGAATGTCAGCTTCACTTTGTGCATTGGCAAGTGTTTAGCTGGACCAGCTGGTCCAGAAGCCCCCACCGATGCTGTCCCACCCTGAGGGGCAGCGTTGATCCCATCGTTGAGGTGACAGCAGGGCGAGGACGGGGTGACACTTGGTACCTCCCAGCAGCGCTGGAGATGGAGTTTGTGGCCTGGGGCAGGTGGAAAGTGCGATGAGAAAGGCTGTGGGTGCAAGGACTGTGGCTGGGTGAGTGCAGGGGTGTGACAGCACCCAAGGGTGCTCAGCGCTGGCCTGGGTGTAGGTCACTAAAGACAGAGAAAAGGGCGGTGGGGGTGAAAAGTGCTGGGTGAAGGGATGGGCAAAGGGGCTGCAGAGGGTGTGGCCTGCCTGGTCATGAGGGGCAGAAGGAATTTGGGCAGCCATGGTTGCTGTGTTGGCATCACCAGGATGTGCCTGGGAGAGCCTGGTTCTGTCAGATTGAAATGATGGATCAGTCTGCAACGTGTCTGGCTCCTCAGTTAATCCGCAGGAGCTGAAAGCACATGAGAAAATAATTTTAGGGCTGGCAAACTAGGAAGCCACAGTTTCCTTCTGTTCCTATCACTCCTGATAAGAAGCCAACGCCTGAACTGAGATGTGGAGCAGTGAGCGGAAGAGGGGACCCCTCCCATGAGGAGTCGTTGGCCTGTGCTGGGGTGGGGGGGCACCCTCCCTGTGCCAAGAGCTTCCTACCATCCTTCCAGCCCACAGCCAGGTGGATGCTTGGTGCTCCTGGCTCCTCCTGGTGGCAGAGGCAGCATGGAGCTGGCCGTGACACCGGCTGGTGTCCCGCCTGCACAGCCTTTGCTCTCCAGTCCTGACTCCATGGCATGGAGGATACCCAAATACTCATGTGGCCCCTCTCTTTTGTGCCCTTCCAGGCTCTGCTGTCACCTTGAAGGCCAAGCCAAAGCAGAAAGCTGCCCAGGATGAAGGTCCTCCTTTTGCTCCTTCTCTCCCCCCTCCAAGGTAGACTGCCTCAACTGTGTCCTGCTTTGGGATGGTGAGCTGGGTTTGAGCTGCTGGAAGTAACTGGTAGCCCCAAAAAACCAGCTGAGGGGCACCAAGGGGTGTTTGCAGCTGTGGCTTCCACAGAGGTAAAACATGTCATGGGCTGATGAACCTCTGATGGGTCTCTTGGGCAGGATGTGTCCTTTCCTGGGAAAGGAGATGGTCTCCATCCTTCCCTTCTGGAGATGGAGAGGTCCTCTGTCAGTCTCTGTCAGTGTGAGTGATGGCACATGGGAGAGGGTGCCTCTGAAAGACAGGAGTCCTGTTGCCCTGTCAGGGGGCAACTGGCAGATCCTCCCAGTGTGGCTGTGACATCGGGGAGGTGGCTGATGTTGTGCAGCCAGTCCAGGACAAGCTTGGGATGACTGGGGTGGAGAACCCAGCATGCCACATGTGACAGCTGCTGTGGGGATGCAGTGTTTGCTGGGGGTGGCTAAACCAGAGTCTCTGTGTGCTTGTGCAACCCAGGGGTGGGAGCCAGTGGCCACAAGGAAGAGGATTTCCACTTCTGCGGGGACCGAAACCAGACCCAGAGCAGCTCTGTCATTTACGAGCATGGCCCCGCCACCATCTCCATCGAGAACACGGCCCAGGCACTGATAATAAGGAGGCCCTTTTTGCCAAACAGGAGAAACTCTTACTACAAGTACAGCTTGCCCCCCACCTTGGGCAGGTACCGCTTCTGTGTCTACTGGTTCAAGGCCAACAGGACCCTGCGGCTGGTGTATGGGAAGCAGAGCATCCTCCTGGGTGGGGACCCATCCAGCAGCATCACCAAGGGACAGGAGAGTCAGAAGACTGAGAGAACCAGCATGATCATCTTCAATGTGTCCTACATCTCGAAGGACGGGAAGAACACCTCCCTTGATGCTAGAGCTGAATACTTCTTCCCTGGTAAAGGCAATTCAACGTTATTTTAAGGAAATGAAAGGTTTGTTTCATCCCCAGCCCATTCTGTAGCCATCAGCAGAGCACTGGTGGTGTCCCAGTATATGGTTTAGCCTGGTGATGTGAAGACAGCTGAAGGGTGATGGAAGGGATGTAGGTTTGCTTGAAGCAGCCCAAAGATAGGTTTGGTACCTGGGATCCCTAAAAATGGAGGTGGAGATTTTCAGAAGTGCTTTGCTCCCTAAAATCCTGGGAAACTGTGGGCTTTGCAGTGGCCTCTCAGGGTTCTGTCTCCACCAACCTAGTCCCAGTGGACTCAGTGGGAGCCAAGCTGTGGGTGGCAGGAAAGCTCTCTGGGTTTGGGTGACCATCAGCTTCCCCAGCTTGGGGCCAGCTTGAAGCCGTCTGCTTTCTGCTCCCCCCAGGGCCGCGCCCACTTGGTTCTGGGCACGAGGAAGCCAGTTCTGCCAATGTATTTCACGGCATTTCCTTTCCATCAGCCTCTCCAGAGAGCATGCCTGTCTGGGAGCAAGATGTGGAGGACCAGCTCACTGCCTTGGACAGCCTCCTTGCCCAGCCCCTGGCACCAGCCACAGGAGCCACGGAGCAGCAGACGCTCCGGCGGTGAGTTCCCGGCTCACGCCGTTCCTGCTGCTGCCAATGCGTGTCCACTGCCTCCTGCTCACTGCACCCCTTCCCTGATAGCAAACTCGGGGAGCTGGAGAAGACGCTGGCCAAGGTGGAGCTCGAAGGGCAGAACCAGACCTTCGGGAAGGCCACTGTGCATGCAACCGTCCTGAGGGTCCAGCCTGCTCAGGATCCTCAGCACCTGGCCTTTGCTTCCCAGAGAGAGGTGGGTCATGGAAAGCTTGTCCTGGTGCTCTTGGCCTGTTGCTTCACCTCCCAAACTCCCTCCTGACGAGTCTTTCCTTGCAGGAGGGTGGAGAGGTCCATGGGTTCACGGTGGACTTGCCAAGCAGCCTGTTCATGATGGTGAAGGAGAGGGAGGAGGTGGTGGAGCACAGGGTGCTCCTCATGGACATCAACAACCAAACCATGTTCCAGGTAATGCCCACACACGTGGGACGGTGGAGTGTCTGCGGTGCAGGGCAGCAGGGATGGCACCCAGGCCAAGGTGCTGGTGCTCGCTCAGAGAAGATGCTTCAAAGATGAGCTTGCCCAAGAAGCTTGATGGGGAAAGAGTCCTGGGACCTCCTTCTTGGGGATTCTCACACCCAGCAGCTCTCCCTTCCCACACTGCCACTGCCTCCTCTTTTTCTCCAACAGGATGAAAACAGCAGCCACATCCTGGGAGACAGGGTAGTCAGCATCTCCCTGGTGGACACGGTGGTAGCCAACCTCTCTGACCCAGTGGTCCTCACTTTCTACCATGACCAGCTGCCGGTAGGTGGGGACACAGCCTCGTTGAACCTGATCCCACCAGGAATGGAGGGACAAAGAAGGCTCGGGCCCTGCCAGCTTAGAGAGTGGGCACAATCCAGCAGGTCCATGCCCTTGGCCTGCCTGTGCAGGGACTGCTGTGTCTTTTGGGGCTGCCTCATGATCACAGCTTCACTGTGTGCATTGGGGGTGGCACTGCCTCCATCTGTCCAGGGGATGCTGCATGGCAGGTGTGTCACCTCCAGCACAGTCTCCAGGCTGGGAAACACTCTCAGTTAACAATCCTTTGGCTCATTCATGGCCCTATCAGGTGCCTGCTCAAAGCTGAACCCCTTGTTTGGAAAAGGGGACCTGGAAGGAGGTATCTGCTCCATCAGGTGCCTTATAGGGGTTGGTTTGTCTCCTGAGATCATCTTGCCTCCTGCCCCATGTTCTCCCCTATCATACGTGCTGGCAACAAACCCACAGCTGCATCCTGACCAGGGCCCATGGTTTTGTCATTGCAGAGGAATGTGACCCCACTGTGTGTCTTCTGGCAGGAGGACATCACTGGTGAGTGCCCCTGCCCTTGGGTGTGAAGCCAGGCACTGCCTTTGCCCCTTTTGCAAGGTACCACAGCCCCACTGGTAAGAGTGCAGGTTGCTTTGCACCTCCCTTCCTTGCTCCAGCTCCACAAACCATTCCCACAGGGTTGATGTCAGGTTTTTCCCTCCATAGCTAACCTAAGTGCTTTCCCCTTCCCTAGGAATGGGTTCTGGTGCTGAGTGGGCTATCTGAGTACATATGCATGGCCTGGGACCCCTCATCCTTGTCCTGCCTCTTTCCTTGCCCTAAAGATCCATGAACCCGAGGCAGATGTTCCTGCTGCTCACCAGACACTCTCCCTTTCTCCTGCACAGCTGCTTCTGGGAGCTGGGACAGCTATGGTTGTACAACAGTGACAGGGAGCAGCCAGACCGAGTGCAGGTGCAACCACCTCACCTACTTTGCTGTGCTGATGGTGGGTAGCGCCTTCCCACAGCTCTCTACATTGTTCCCACTGGCTGTTCTTCCTCACTGTCTCTCCTTCCTCCTTCTCCTCAGGTATCCTCCCCAGAGATCACCTATGTGCACAGGCATTACCTGAGTATCATAACCTACATCGGGTGCCTGATCTCAGCTTTGGCGTCCATTTGCACCATCGTCTTCCTCTACTTCAGGTACAGTGTGATGGTTCACACCACGCTCCCTGTCTGTGTCCTGTCCCTTGCCGTGAACCCCTGGCAGGGCACAAGCTCTCCAAGTGCAGCTGATGGCCTGGCTGGAAGCATGATGAAGGAGCAAGGCCTGAAGAAAGCAGAGTTCTCCTCTCCAGAAACCACCCCCTTGGTCAGGCCTCCTGCAGGGTGCTCAGAAACACCTCTCTTTTCAATGATTTTGGAAAATCTGCTTGGTTGTTGTTATGGACCCAGCGAGCAGAAGCCTGCAAAGATCTTTTCAAGGACCCATGTGAAGCTGTGGGGTGTTGTGGGGCACCAAGGGCCGGGCCAGGCATGGTGGTGAGGTCTGCACCCTTCTATTCTCCAGAAGCAAACAGCGAGACCAGATCACGAGCATGCACATCCACATGAACCTGCTGGGTGCCATCTTCCTCCTGGATATGACCTTCCTCATCTCTGAGCACTTGGCTTCCAGCAGCAGCGAGGCAGTCTGCAGAGCTGGGGGGCTGTTTCTGCACTTCTCCCTTCTCAGCTGCCTCACCTGGATGGGCATCGAGGGCTACAACCTCTACCGGCTTGTGATCGAAGTCTTCAACGCCTACCATGACCACTTCCTCCTCAAGCTCTGCCTGGTGGGCTGGGGTGAGCACAGGGGAGGCAGAGACACCCCCAGGGCACAGGGTGGAGGGGCACTTGGGTATGGAATGCCTGGATGGGGATGGAGACATCGCTGTGTGGGAGCAGATGTCTGAAAGCAGAGGGGTGGAGAAGGGGACTCGATGGCTGAGAGCAGAAGCTGGTGCTAGAGCAAGGGTGTCACCCAGCAAGAGAGATGTGAGAGCCACCTCTTGGGGTCTTTAAATAGTAATGGGATCCTCTCTTTCTGAAAAAACCACCCAGGGCAGCCCAGAGAGGAGGGCTGGATGCAGGAAGCACCCACACATCTCTGCTGTGCTTTGGGCAGGAAGCTGTGGGAGGAAGATCTCATAACCTTTTGTGGGCTAAAGTTCCACATCCCTGGGAGACCCCTGGTTGGGGTCAGCACAGCACAGCCCACTCCCAGGCCAGAGCTTAAGCCAGGCATCTTTGTTGCCTGCTCTGCCCTCAGTGCCCTGTTGGGAGGGAGGATGTTGGTTTGTATTCTACACAGGGAGAAAGGGGCAACAAGTCCTCCCAGAAGGCCCAAAAGCCAGGGACTAGGGCAGCCACTTCACTCTGCTCTTGCCACCCAGGATTGCCCTTCCTCTGTGTGTCGCTGATCTTCCTGGCTAACTGGACAAACTACGGCCCCTTCTCCGTCCCCATCTATGAATCCATCGATGGCAAATCCACCAGCGCAACCATGTAAGTCGTGGGAAATGCCTTGCCTGGTTTCTGGTCACAGGTAAAGTCAACTGGCTGAACCTTCACTGTGTCCTGCAGACTTCCCTTGGCCCCCTTGTGGCTTTTCTGGGGCTTTGTGCCAGGGTGTGGTGGGGGATCCCTCCACCCTGGGCACTGGGTTGGCACTTTCGTGCTTCCCCAGACCCTCCCAGCTCAAGTCCCTGTGTGATGACACAGTGTAACCCTCTGCCCTTTCTCCTCCCTCCAGCTGCTGGATCACCAGCCCCCTGATCCATAACATCGTGAACCTGGGTTTCTTCAGCCTGGTGTTCCTCTTTAACTCGGTCATGCTAGGGGCCATGGTCCGGGAGATCCTCCGGCAGAACAAGAAAGGCCACAAGCTCAAGCACGTCCTGGCCCTCTTTGGGCTGAGCATCCTGCTGGGCATTCCCTGGGCACTGATCTTCTTCTCCTTCACCTCTGGTGTCTTCTGCCTTGTCTCCCTCTACATCTTCACCATCATCAACTCCCTCCAAGGTGAGCCTGGGACACTGGGCTCCTCCGAAGGGCACCGGGGTTTTCATGGGGTGTTGGTGGGGTGGTGATGAGGTGTGGGAGGAGCCCTGGCAGGCTGGCTGGCTCTCTCTCAGCTGCTGTTGGTGCCTTGTGGGGGTTCACCCACCCTTCCTCTCCCCTCTCGCAGGCTTCCTCATCTTCCTCTGGTACTGGACCATGGTGCTGCAGGCGAGGAAGTCCCCCGACTCGCAGTGCAGCTCTGACAGCGTCAAGCTGCAGCCCAACAGCAGCCACGTTGGCTGAGCCCCGCGGTGGCCGTGCCGTGCCGGGGCTCCCTGCGCCGAGGACGGCCACGGGAAGGACTGACTCCACCTGCTTTGCTACTGCACCCACCTCGTAGGGCTGTGAGGAGCCCAGGGACCTGCAGCGGGACCAGCCGCCCCTTGCCTCTGCCAGCCCCCTCCCCAGTTTTCCCACCCACTGCATCCTGACTGGCTTGGCATCTTTGGGGCAGAAAGGAGGGAGGGATATTCACTTGGGCAGTGGGGGCCTCCGGACATCCTCTCCCACGCCCTGAGGCCAGGGATGATGGCTGGGAAAGGCCCCATCTTCAGCCCTTGCTGGTGGTCACCGTGAGGGTCCTTCCCCAGGGAAGACAGAATGACTCTGCCCCTGCCACACCCTCTGGCAGCTGGAATAATCTATTTTTGTTATTTTGTTGAATGTCTATTTTTGGATGGTGTAGGAGTTTAGTGAGCATGCCTGCACACCGGACTTGTGCCCATTAAAGTTGTTCCTCTCACAGTGTGGCTTGCTGGGGTCTCTGCCTGGTGCATTGTTGGGCTCTCTAATGGGATCTATCCCTCAGCTGGGGTTGTCCCATTCCCAGGGCAGGACTTGGCATTTCAGCCTGTAGGATCCTTCTGAGCTGGGACAGGTAATTTTGCTCCTGGCAGAGCACTGGCTGCTTGGTGCCATAGGGATTGGTGTGATGGAGGGAGATGCCAATGGCTTGGGAATCCAGGGACCATCACTACCCAGAAAGGGAGGCTGGTGGAGGACAGAGATATAAAGAGGGAAACTTCACAGGACAAGAGTTGCCTCCTTCAGTGGCTGTGGGGCCAGGCAGAACCTGGCTGTCCTGGCTGTGCTGCTTGCAAGTGCAGCACCACATCTCCTGTTCAACTATTTCCCCTTCCAGAGGGTGCTCTGGCTGCAGCTCATCCCCCTCCACTCGGCTTCCAGCACTCACCTGGGGCAGGGACACCTTCCCAGGAAGGGGATGCTTCATCCCAGCAGCTTGTGGTGATGCCCAGTTTAGGAGGGGGATGCTCCAGCATGTCACTGTGCTGGTGGGTGCCATCGACCCCTTGGCAGGACTGGGGAGAGAAAGGGAAAGCAAAAAGCCCCATGTCAGAGAGCAGAAGGAGCCAAGAGGGAAATGCTGCAGCTCTGACAGTTGTCACTGTTGCTGTGAGCCAGGGCAGGAGGTCCCTTGCCAGCCCACAGGAAGGAGTGAGGGGTTCTCAGAAAGGAAATGAAGACACAGCCCTGTTGCCTCAGGAGTGGCCACAAGCCCTGGCAGAGCCTGGGGAGGAGCTGAGCTGCTGAGACAAGGGGACTGGAGTGAGGTGGGACAGCCAGGGGTGGTCAGGAGACCCCACAAAGCAGCATGAACCTGTTCCTGGGTACCATCCTGCTGCTCCTTATGCCGCCTGGTGAGTGGTGGGTGAGGGGGGGACAGACATCCTCGGTGTGGGGGGTGCCATGGGCTTGAGGGAAAGGTTTTCACATGGGAAGGTGTTGACCCAAAGACCATGGTGGGGTGTTTCACCCTGAAAAGTGGACAGGCCAGAAGGACAATCCCTGCTGAGATGTGCAGAACTGGTAGAGGCAAGTGGAGTTGGGGGGTTTGCTGCTGGGGCATTTTTTTAAAATCTGGAACCAGCAGCCCAGGGTCTCTTCTACAATCCCTCTGGGGGGGGGGCTGGACACAGTGGTTTTGTTCTCACCAGCCCTGATGGCTGTCTGGGTGTTTTTGAAGTCCATGTAACTGCAGAGCTGTTCCTTTCAAACCTGGTGGCTGCCAGATTCTCCTGCCTCCCCTTCCCTTGTGGGCAAGGGGAGGACTCACCCTAGATTTTGGGGTTTTCCCTCCATTTCTTCACGTACTCTTCTTCCAGATGTTGCCGGGGGAAATGAGCGCTGTTCCGGTGAGTGGTGCCCCCCATCCCCACCCTCACCCCAGTGCCGTGGTGCCTGGTGGTCACCCTGCTCCCATCCTCCCCAGCTCTGGGTCGGGGTGATGATTCCCTCTCATGCTGCAATGTGACGGTGGAGCCGAAGAAACGGGGCCGTGGGTTTGGCATCCTCCAGCTGCCCCAGCGCTGCCCGCAGCTGGGGAGCTCCCACAGCTCCGCCTGTGCCTGCCTGCGGGATCGCTGGTTCAGGTAGCAGCAGGGCTGGCCATGGCAGGGTCTGGGGGCTCAGCTCCTTGCATCCACTAGTCCCACAGCCCCGCTGTCCCACAGGGAGGTGCAGGGGCTGCACAGTCGGCTGGTCGGGCTCAAGAAGCTGCTCCTGAATGTCAGCAGGGCTGCCGTCCGTGATGTTCTCATCACCTTTTCCCCCACGGAGGTGAGATGTGCCCTTCCCTCTCCCTCGCTTGGGAGGTCCCACACCTTCCAAGCATCCCTTTTCCAAGCATCCCTCGGCCCCCCGCCCAGGGGTGTGGTGTGCCCTGCTGTGCTCTTCCTCCACTCTGTTCTGGGGTTGCATCATGGACCCACATCAACTTTAACATCCCTGGGCAAGGAGTCACATGAAATGGTGCTTGGGAGGAAAGAGCCCTCCCTGAGAGCCGTTCCAGCAGACATGGGTGGTCACAGGGAGAGTAAGGTAGGAAAGGAGGAGGAACGTGTGTGACTTTGGGCCTCCTGCCCCCCCCCAGGCTCTCCCAGCTATGGATGTCCCACACATGGGTGATCATGGGTTGAGGACCTTGTGAGTCCCACTCTCAGCTCTGTCTCTAGCTGCTGGGGATGAGTTTCTCTCCTTCTGCCCTCAGGCAGGGCTTCTGGCTGAATTTGGAGCAAGGTTGGTGGGTCCCAAGCAGAGAAGTGACCTGCCAGCAACAACCTCTCACTGTTCTTCTCTGCCTCAGGGCCCCAGCACGCTGAACACCACAGAGAAGGGGAAGGCAGGAAAAATCCATCTCCCTAGGGAGATATTTCGGTCTCTGAGTAGCCAGATAGTGCGTGTGGTGGTGACAGTCCTCAACATCCAGCAGCTTGGCATGTTCAAGGTATGAGCTGGCACTGCTGGCACCCTTCCTGCTGCTGCTGGCACTCGCTACACACCAGCTCAGCTCAGGCAACGTTGCCCCCATGCAGGAAGTCAACCAGTCAGGGCAGGTCCTGGACAACACCGTGGTGGGCATCACAGTGGGAAACACCAGCATCTCCGGGCTGCGGGACCCCGTGCAGCTCACCTTCACCCACAGGCAGCTGCCCCGTGTAAGTCAGCCCTGCCCGCCCTCCACCTCTTCTCCAGTGCCCCTCACTGTGGCATCAGTTGATGCCGCTGTCCCTCTTGGCAGGATGTCACCCCACAGTGTGTCTTCTGGGATCCCAGCAAAGGTACAGTCCTCGGCAGGGCCGGGTGTGTGGGGCTGTGCTCAGTGCTCTCCGTTGTCACTCCTTTCCTGTTGCAGGACAGGCAGGAGGCTGGCACAGCAGTGGATGTGTCACACAGCCTGGGGACCAGAAGACAGTCTGCTCCTGTGACCATCTCACCTTCTTCACCCTCCTCCTGGTGATGATCCCACTCCCCACAGCTCCTGCTTGTGCCCTGACAGTGCTGCCCACCTGCTTTGGTGGCCCCTCCGGTGTCATGAGTAGCCACAGTGATAGTTATAGCTGTTTCCAGGCAAGCCCAGGTCCCAAACACAAGCCCAGCCCCAGCTCAGGAGGGCAGCAGCAGGTCAGCAGAGCAGGACAGCCCAGAAAAGGCCCCAGCCTAATGCAGGCTCTGGAGCAGCAAGGCTTAAGATCCCATATCCTGGTGAAGTCTCCCAGGAGGGTGGTCATGGTGGTCCACTTCACTCACTCCTCACTGCACCCTGGGGAGCATCTCCTCTGAGCCACCACTGCCTTGCTCCCCCTGAAGACCTTTTGCTGGCCAGACAGGGGGCTTGTATGGGGGCTCTGCAGCAGTCCACCGGGTTTATCAGCCCTGTGGCTCTGGTAGCTGCAGTTGGGTTTTCTAGGCTGGTCTGGAGCCTGTCTAACCTAACATGTGCATGTTTGGCAGAACCCAGCTCTGGACAGCCCCACAGCACAAGCCTTGATGGCTGTTGCCACCGCTGGCTGTGGGGTAGCCATGGTTTTTTCCATCTTCACCATCGCCTTCTGCCTCTTCATAAGGTAGGATGTGCCAGCAGCTCCACGGGGACTTGTCAAGCTGGGAGAGATGTGGGGCAATTCTGGTGCCTCTGCGTGGACCTGCTGTGATGCAGCAGGAGGCCCTGCTCACCTGTGACCTCTACCTTTCCTGGTCCCTCTGGGAACACTCAGGTGCAGGTTCAGGTTTGAGGAGACCGTGCGCATCAACCTGGGGCTGCACATGAACCTCGTGGGCAGCCTGTTCCTCCTCAACCTGGCCTTCCTGCTCAACAGTGGGCTCTCTGGGAGGACCCAGCCGGGGACCTGTAAGGTCCTGGGGGGGCTCACCCACTACTGCCTGCTCTGCTGCTTCACCTGGACGGCGCTGGAGGGCTGTCAGCTCTACCTCCTCTTCGTCAAGGTCCTTGGTGTCTACATCCACCACTACCTGGCAAAGCTGTGCCTGCTTGGCTGGGGTGAGCACTGCCAGCCTGGGGGCAAGCTTAGGGGAGAGGGGGGCACTAGGAGGTTTAGATTGGATAGTAAGAAAAATTTCTTCACTGAAAGGGTGGTCAGGTTCTGGAACAGGCTGCCCTGGGCAATGGTGGAGTCACCATCCCTGGAGGTGTTCTAAAGATGTGTGGGTGTGGCACTTGGGGACATGCTTTGGTGGTGAACATGGCAGTGCTGGAGTAATGGTTGCACTCGATGATCTTGGAGGTCCTTTCCAACCTAAACAATTCTGTGATTCTGTGTGTCTCCCTTCTTCCAGGCTTGCCCATTCTCGTGGTGGGAGTGGCAGGAGCTATCGGCAGCTACGGAGAGTACAGCATCCAGACCACGGACCACCAGGTCATAGCCCTGTGCGTGCACCACTGCCCACAGGGCTCAGGTGGCCCTTTGGCACAGGGAGTGGTAGCCCAGTCCTGCTGGGAGTGCAGCAGTCAGGGATTGCACCCATCCAGCTTGGCTTTATGCCATGCTTCTGCTTCCTTAATTGTGATTACAACATATCTGCCACCCCCACCCCCACCTGTCATGCTGAGCTTCCTTGGCCATGCCTGCAGCCCTCCAGGTCATGGAGGGATGTCCAAGGTCCACCTGGAGCTTCCCCAGGATCCCTCCCAGCTGAGCAACACGAGGGCAGTGGATATGCACCACTGTCCCCTTGCTTCATCCTGGCCTTGGAAAACCCCCCCAGCACAACAGTGTCCCTGCATTCCTGAAACATCCCCATGTGGAGGCTCCCATGAGTGCTTCTGGGGCTTGCAGGACCACTGGAGGCACTGTGGTTGTCTCTTTTCAGGTGCTGGATCACTTCCAAACATGTCCTGCTCCACTACATCACCAACTGCGGCTACTTCAGCCTCATATTCCTCTTCAACATGGCTCTCTTTGGGGTGGTGACCCAGAAGAGCTGCA